GAAGGGTAGGGCTGTGAACAAGCAGATCATGTGAGTGCAGAGCTCAGTATGCATCAGGTCACTGAGTTCTTTCCTTCTGCAACTGTCAAAGCATTTTACTGGGCCACGTTGGGTTTGACTCAGACAGGTATGTTTGTGCTTCTGCTCTTAGAATAACAGATAGCAGAAAGAGCTAAGATAGTGAAAACTCAAAACAAGTAGTGTACTGTAGAGTTATCCCTGCTGTCCAGCAGACTGCTGTTTCACCCTTCAGCATGTCCCTGTTATGTGCCAGGGTAGCAGTGCACGCTGCAGTTTGTGGTAAGCCAGCAGCTCCCTGTGTTTGAGGAGAAGGTTTGCCTTCTCGCCTTGCTTGTTGGCTTGCTTGTTTGTCTCCTGGTACAGCCTATGAAAGCTGTTGCGAAATGTGTGAGTTACCAGAAGAAAACATTTCTCTGTCTTGTTTACAGAACCCAAGCTCCCTTAAAACAAACCCATAACGGGTAAAGTGAGTACCTTGTGTCCTGTTTCTCAGGATGGACAGGATCTAGATACTCTACCCAGAGTGCAGGCTGGACAGTGCTCTTGAGAAACGTAATTTAGTCTTTTCTTCTCCTTTGCTTATGGGAAAAATAAATTGTATGAGCCTTTTTGAGAAACTGGGTCAGCCTGGATCACTCCCTGTTGGGGGGTGTTGGAGGAGTTAATGATGTGTTACTGACAGTGCTTCATCCTTGTTCAGTCATGAGAAGGATATAAGGGCCCAGTAAAGTTACATCTTCAAAATTGTTTCAAACACGTTAGGAAAGTTGCCTGAATATATAGAAGAGTTGCTAACATTTGAAAATACACTTCTCAGTGTAGATTTTAATTCCTTTATCCCATCTCTTCTGATGACCTGATATATTCTCTGCGATGATGCATTTTCAAAATCTGAATTCGTGGTCAGAGGTTGAGATTTATTCAGCACACACAAATTAGTTGTATATGTCTGACCTAGTCACCGAGGTACTTTTTACAGTCAATATAGATCTCTTCAGTATAGTCAGTACTGCCTAAGTCTAAATTCAGTTTAGGATCCTATACTGTGTTCAGACAAATCATGACTCAGACAGTCGTTGATCTACTTACTTTCTTAAATGTTTACAAGGGAAGATAACATTACTAGCTCAGATGTAGACATCTACACTATAGCCTACTGAAAGGTGAATCTCACTAAAGGAGGTGAGTATGAGCAGATCTTGTATGATCACACCTGAGTTATAGCTGCTGAGCACCAGTTGTCTTAATTTTTCCTCCCTTATTGGGATATTACAAAGGGATTTTACCCTAGAAAAGGATTTCCCTGATGTAGGAATTCTCATCAGCAGCTCCTTCTTATCAACTGAAATTCCTTTTGCAGAGCTGAAGGCACAACTCTAAGAGCTGTGAAGTATGGGCAAGTGGAATGGTTCATGGAGGAAAAGTTTGAGTAGAAATGCCCTCGGTGAGAATAACAGCATAATTAGTCCTAGAACTGGGAGAGTCAGAAGTGACCTTTACAGTCACTTCTCTGAATGAGAAAGTAGATCACCTGACTGTGGTTGTGCTAGGAGGTCTTCATGAGGACTGTAAACTTACCGTTCAAGTCAATAATATTTGACTTAAATCCTGTATAGACACAACATCCTTGGGCACTTTCCTGTGCTTGCACACGCCCACAAGAATACAAACAAGACCTTAGCAGAGAGCTTCTTACAGGCTCTCAGACCTCTTGGTCACCTCCCAGCCCACTGCCTACTCATTTCCTTAATGGCACCTTTCAGCAATTCTTACCACACCACTGAAGGAGCAGGTGCTAATTCTAATTCTAAATAAATATTTCCTGTATCTTTTATGGTCAAACCTAAACCATAGTAAGCCTACTTCAAATTTCCTAGCTTGCCATTCCAACCTCAGGGCACAGTGAGAGTTCACCTTGTTCTTTACATTTTCCCATCCAGATAAGATCACTGCTGCTGCAACATACATCTATATTCCACACTGCTACTCTGTTTTAGTACTTTTTTGTACACTGATGAGTAGTTTGAATTTAAATCTTTGCAAGTTCTGGATAACTAGAAGGGACACCCAAATGCCAAATTACTGAAGAAACTGTGTTGAACAGCTTAAGTTACTGGTTTAATGTTGATTTTGTATTATAGAAATACAGAATGTGATGTCATGCTGTTTATCCTTTAGCTGATCAATGGAAAGTGGTGTGGCATTACAGCAGTCCAAGGAAAGAATGGGAAATGGTGTCTCACACATCCAGTTATGCCAGTGTGCATGCCCAGCAGATGATTTTTACCAGCCACAGGGTAGTGCAGGTTGCTCATCTGGGGCCTGGCCTTTCCAAGGAAACTGAGCCACTGTCTCAGTTTTTTGTATTGCTTTCACTTGCATCATTCCAAAGACACATAGGAACCCACATGCTTATCCAGGAATTTCTTGAAAATATTTAGGAGTAGAAGAAGAGTTTTATGTCATCTTCTCTACTTTTTTCTCCCCTTCCTGGAACCAGTGCCCCATGAGGAAAATACTGAAGGTATTGTAAGTGACCTCAGGAGATCATTAAAAATTGTGTCCTAAGGAAGGACTGTCTAATTTTATGACATTCCTGACAGGTTATAACTAGAGCTGTACTTACAGATGTGAACTCTACACTTTTTGTAGACCATTTATTCTGGGAATTCATTTTTATGCTGGATGTTAGGGCATTCTCCCTTCATGGCTATTTTTTTTTCTCTTTTATTTCTATCCTTATCCACTGCAGAATGAAGAATAAATTTTCCTCACTGCGGCTTGGGTTTCTGAACACAATTTGCATTTCTGAAGACAGCTATGAGAACAACTAAACATTATTTTTTTTTAGTGCTGAGAAAACAGTATTACCCATCTGTTAGCTTATAGAAGTGACCGTTTGATAAAGGCTTTTATCCACTAAGTTCCACAGTTCAGGCACACAAAAAGGGCATCAAATGGCCATCCACTGTGCCCAGTGAGATGCTGGTTGACCTGTCCCTGGAGACATCCAAGGTCATTCAGGATGGAGTTCTGAGCAACTTGGTCTAGCTTTCAGCATCCCTGTTCATTGCAGGGGAGTTGGACTAGATGGCATTTAATGATCCTTTCAAACCCCATTGTTCTATGGCTCTATGATTATTTTTCCCTGTAATCCAAATTTCATAGAGGGATGGTAGACCTCCAGTAAGCACATCAGATCTTATTTGTTGTCTTCTTTACATCTTCCTTGTTCAACTTTTTCTTTGCTGAAAAAACTCCCCATATAACTTCAGTATGAAGACTTCTAATTAAATTAGCTGCTTTATTATGGTCTTAATCTTTTTTTCTAAAATTCCCTCCTATTGTTGTAATAATTTATTTCCCTTATTAGACTGAAGGCTGTTTAAAAGCAGAGCAGATTAAAACCTGTAACGCTAGTTATGGGTTCTTATGTTATATAAAAAGACAATAATAGTCAAATATATAACTATTCCCCATGAGTTCTTTCTTTGAGATAGACACTAAAACTATTGTTGAGACAAGTGTGAATATCATATGCTCTTAATCTCAGAACATTATTACTTTAAGTACGCTAGTCTATTTGCAGCCATTCTAATACATTTACATAGAAATGTAGATAATCATAAAATATGTTTTTATCTTGGATATATCAGTCTTAACACAGAGATCCAAAATACCATATTCTTATCACTCTGCTATTGTCTCAATCCTGCAACTGGGGTGTGATTCTTTAATATTATTTTTGCTTCCCTTCCATTTTTAGATGGGATGAGTGTGAAGAACATCATGCAATGCACATTGATGTATCAGCCTGACCCTAAAACTCAGAGTGCATCAGACAATATTCCTCAGCCGAATTATACTCAGCTCAACACAAACATTTTAAATAGATGAACCTCAAGGAAGAAATGCTGCTCTAAGACATTTCAAAGGCATTTGTAAAAAAATATATGAGTTGGGATTTTAGAGTTCTTGTTTTCATTACTCTGTGCTCAAACACTGGCCAAGTATCAAAGCTACCAAAAGCAGCAAGACAACTGGGATATTAAAAAAAAAAAAAAAAAAAAAAAAAAAAAAAAAAAAAAAAAAAAGAAAAGGGAAAAGAACCTTCAAACTATCCCATGAAAGAAAAATGTTTTTCTCTGAAGTTCTAGTCCCTATTGAAAGGTTTCATTTTTATTATATTTTTAAATCAATCTACAGTGATTCTTTAATTATACCGTTGCCAGTATAGCAACAGTATATCCTTAAAGCATTATAAAGTCATACTGAAATTAATCTACCTAGATCCCAGGGTTCCAAATACCGTCTGTAATCTCAGCATACAATGCTCCTTTGTAATGCCCTTTTAATTTAGCCTTTGGAAAGTCCTCTGTGACAGCCAAACCAAGTGGTTTCAGAGAGTGGCAATTCTTGAAGCTACTTTTCATCAATCATTTCCACTTTGTTCCCTTTTCAAAAAATGCATTCAATTTTCACTTTAATTGAAAGGCTGAAAACATAAGATGAGGCATAAATAACACAGACTGTGTAAAATAGTCTGATAGTGTCATACTATAGTTTCTACTGTCTTCAGGAATGAAATTGACTTTTCCAGGTAATTGAAAGAGTGTTTTTAATAGCACCAGTTGTTAACTACTGTATATTACATCCAAATAGAATTGTATGGGACTTTGTTCTTATCTTCAATAAAATAAATAAATACAATACTAGGGCTTCTCTGAAAGTAATATCTCCTATTTTATGATGTTGGCCTGCAACAACAGAGGCAGATGCTGGTGGTATGGCAGTAGAAGTTGAACCGTCCCACCAATATCCAGTTACATTCTGTTGCCACATGACTGATGACAGCAGTGGGGCAGTCTGACAAAATGACATCTGACATAGAATTGTGTATGAAGCAAAGGTATCGAATTCTTCCATGTGGAAAACAATACTCTCATTGACATTCATTAACACTTGTTGAACATTTTCAGAGAGTGAGGAGTGGACGTGAGCACAGTAAGTTTGTAAGTGATGCATTTCAGCATTGGCGACAGCGATGTGAAAGACAAGACACGTTCTGGATGGTCGTGCTCATCTGTCACACTACAAAATGAAGAGTATATCATTTCATCCCTGTGAATCATCAGATTATGACCAGACAGCTTTGTGTGAAGCTTCAGTGTGTTGAAAATGAGGGTGGAAACAATTGGAATATCCCAAAGTTTTTGTCAGGTGAGTTCTATGATTACTCACACAGAAACAGAAAGAACATCATATGCAAGTTTGTCAGGACCTATTTAACCAATTGATCTCTGGTGGGTCAGAGCCAGGAGTTCCTTCTGAGTGCAGCTTCCACTAATTTTCTTATTTCTATTCTGCTCTGTGTATGCCTGATACAGAGAGTTCTACTGAACAGCATCTCTCCAGTATATTTGTTTATAGATTGATACACATTGTGGTTCCAGCCGGGCCCTGGAGCTTATGATTCAAGAGATCCACTTCTGTCTCTTAGGTTTTTGCAGGTTGATAGCGCTAGCCAAAAAGAGGTACTTCTCCCAGCTTTCAGGTATCTCAGCAATGATTAGGGAAAAGTAGTGTGAAAAACAGCAGTAACTTTCTGCTCTCCACAGATAACAAGTTAGCTCTTACAGCAGACGCTACTCTGTCTCTACTCAAGGCAACTATCTCACACAAGGATGTCCTTCTCCTTTACAATTTCTAGCTTGACCTGAGCTTATTACAATTTTTAGACACCACAGAACAAGCTCTCTACCTTAGAGATTTCAGAGATTGTGGCAGAGAAAGGGATTGAATAAGCGAAGAAGGGGAGGAAAATAGTTTTTGCCTCTGTTCATGGAGAAAGGAGAGGGCATCTAAATGCTGTGCCAGGGAAGGACCAGCACACACTGATGGTCATCTCCAGAGAATCTAAAAATACAATTACCTGAAGTCACTGGACAATAGGGAATTAGAAGGGGAATAAAACAACAGATGATTTGGCTCTGAACAGCAAGTCTCCTTTATTAGCACTGCTGTGCTAATTCCCTCCCCTATAACTCTGAGACAATAATAGGAATGCTTATCTCACCAGGATTTGTAGGCTTTTACTGAGCATTATACAAATGCTGTTCTACAGCACTGATTTCAACAATACTACTTAATATATACAAGCACATAAGAAGGACACCCACAGCAAGTGACATCTGAACCTTAACAGCTCAGACAGTAACTGCAAAGAGAAATGCAATGATCCCTTTGGTGTAGTTTTTTCCTTCCTCATGCACAGGCACTGGACAGGGGTTCAGGCACTGAGGTGAGATCGGAGCAACCTCTGTCTCACCCCAGTCTTCCTCCCTGATGGAGCTCCTTATCTTCCTCCCTACTACTAAGGCTCAGTGGGATGTGAAAGCCTCAAATGGCAGAAAATTTTTGTTTTTAGTAGCCAGACTTGGGCAGATAGGAATGCACGTATGTATGTGTATTTGTGTATAAATATTTGCTTTGCACAGTGAAAGAAGTTATGTAGGTGTTCTGAGTGGAAGAGCTCCGGTGTATATACTGGCAAATGTGTGTGACTGTCTATAAAGATGTGACTCTGCTGTAGAAAAAAATAAAAAAATATTACTTTCGAGATAATCAAGTTTTCTTTTAACTAGTACAGTATGTCATAGAAATAAAGTAATAGCAGAATCCTTCTGATACTCATTAGCAGCCCCGTCACACCTGCTAATCTTAAGTTAATGATAAGGACCCTACTGTTGAAAAAAGAGTAGAAAGTCTCCATACACCATAGCAGATAAAAGCACTATACTTCTGTTTGCAGGATAGAAAGGCACAGGCAATGCAGTTTTCCAGAACTCTTTTTCCAGCTCTCGTGATGATTTTAATGATGGATTGAAAGAGAAGTCAAAATGGATCTGCCATGGAATAAAATACACATTTATTCAGGACTTTGTGCAGAAGTATATGGTAAAATCTTGTCCGTCACATCACCATCGTGTTTTACTGTGCTTAAGAGCTCAATTAAACCTGAGAAAACTTTTCAAAGTGAAGTTGTTTTTATAACTGTCTTGAACAGTCTGCCTAGGGAGGTGGTTGAGTCATTGTCCCTGGAGGTGTTCAAGAACTGTGGAGATGTGGCACTGAGGGACATGGATAAAGGGAACAGTGCGGATGAGTTGAAGGTTGGCCTTGGTGATTTTAGACATCTTTTCCTGTCTTAATAATTCTATGATTACACCCTGCTCCTAAGCCTGAACAGTGTCTTCATGTCACCTTGGTACATGTTGTAAACAACTGCCTTCTGAGGGGAGAAAAAAGGAATTGGGAGAATGTTTTATCAGGCAATTAGTACTGTTAAAGCATAGATATGTGCATACATTTAAATATTACACAAGCTTAGCAGGATACAATAGAGATCTGTATACAATACATAAACATGAAAGTATGACCTCGTTCTTTATGGCAAAGTATTTATACTGTTAAAATTAGTTAAACATGTTCTGCCTCTGCATAAACCGACAAACTGAAGATGTTTCACAGCAACACTCACAAAGCCAAGTGATTCTACAATATCCCAGAGCTGTTCTTGCAAAAGCTTAGTTTTTAATGCTATAATTATTCAGTAAGTTGGCCTGAAATACAGAAATATTTTACGAAGTCAAATTATATTTATACAGACGTACAAAACAAACTGGGAAACCTACTATTAAGTTGTGCTACCATGAAACAGTTCAGAAATAAGGAAGATGATTTCTGAGAATCAAGGGATTGCAAAGACTCCTATTTCATTACAGAGTGTAAAGCTGTGGACATTCAGCACTTTAATTTTAATTTCCACTCTGGTAAGTATTTCTCATCTTGAAAAGCTTAATTTTCACTGCAGTTCTGGAGGGTGAATACATATGTGCTTTCTGGATACAGTTTGCTTGCTTTTTCTGAACAACTATTATTGCATTTCCCAACACTCTTTTTTTTTTTTTCCTGTTTACAGTCACAGAGATCAGCTTTTTATAAGACCTTTACTCATGGGGAGGGAATGAGCCAAGCAACACTTGAGTCCTCCTGCAGAACTAAACCCCTCCTGAAGGTTTTGCCAATTGTCAGAAAAACTAAAGAGAATGTAATAAAAAGGAGATACTTAAACCTCTTCTCTTTAGTTTGTATTCAAAAAGCAATTTGAGTTATCTTATTTTCAAAAAGCAACTCTAATTGCATTTACCAGCCTAGTGGGTTCGCTTCAGAAGGGTATTTTTTTTTTAACTGCCTGGTAAATTCAGACCAGGAAGCAGAGTGACTAAAAACCACTGTGTTCTTGAGGCAGATTAATAAGTTGGGAAGATTTCATGAAGATCACACTTAGTGGCAGTCTTAGATCTTCACTTTAGCTGGGTCTCTGAATGAACTTAGAAACAGTTTTGAAGTAATAGTTTGAGTTTGTAGGTAAAAAAATTGCATTTAAGAACATGGTTTAAAGAACCCATGGTATGGCTATAAAGTCTCCTGAACTACTCCAGGTGTCAGCATACGGTCACGATCCTTTGTGCATTTCTCTATAAATGCATGTTAACACACTGTATATTTGTACACGTTTAGCTTGCCATTCCCTGCCATGTTTAGACTCATATAAATGAACATAGTTTTGACAACATTCAGTCCTTTTCCACTCTCTAGATTAAACAATTTAAGACGATGCTCTCCTGACACACACAAACCACCAAGAAGACTTTAAGCAGAAAGACCTGTGTACATTAGGGACCCCCAAGGAGCTGTCTGGGTTCAGAACCCAATTCTAATTTGGTACTTGCTGCAACTCATTCGACTGAACATCCTGATCATCCTTAAATAGCTGGCCAGATTTTCTTTACCAGAAAAGGCTGCAGGATGAGTGTAGATCCAGCCTTGAAGATGTCCCCTGAGCCAATGGCAGAAGAAAGAATAAGACTACATCCACTGATCAGACTCAATGATCCATGTGTGCCCCTTCCAACTCAGGATACTCTATGATTCTATGAGTTACATGCTCTTGCTGTACCAGTCTTCCCTGTGCTTACTTAATCTAAGGATGACTGGATATTTGATGGCTTGCAGTGCAGAATATTGTACTTTTTTTTTTGTTGTTGTTTTCCATTAAGAACCTAAAGAGTTCTTTCACCAGAATCTGGAAACATCCTCTTTTTTTCCCAAAGATTTCTTAAATGCCAGAATCCAGAGAAGCCTCCTTCATCTAACAGATCACCACAGGTTAATTGGCACTCACACAAATGACCACAGATGTTTGCAAGATGTTGTTGAGTCCCCTCTGAGAATATCATTACCTGCCTAGCGTCAGTGCAGTACTGATACGTAATTTATTCCTTTGGAAGTTCTCCATCACAATATAACAAAATAACATAAATCTCTTCACAAATGTCATTGCCTTGGGATAAACCCAGCACTGAAAAGCTTTAGGGATTGTTTTACATCAACTGAGTTTTCTGCTTGCTCTTGTAGTGAGACAGTGACTCCTGAAATGTTTTTTTTCTGACACCCTTCTTAGATCACTGCCTCCGACATGGCAGTTGGGGCACACAGTTTGTGTATTTACTATTTAGCGTCTAAATATGGGACAAAAGTGACCGTTTCCCCCTGTAGCTTATTCATACCTACTAGTAGGCAACTCAGCGATGTTCGTGACCTCAGTTACAGATCAGTCTTCTCCTGGGCACCGTCGTGTTAGCATCTAGCCAAGAGGTGGCAGTACTTATCCACTATTTCCGATGGGTGATGCTACGTCCTAATGCTATGTCCATCTTCGTAGCATCGGTGTCAGCAGCTCCTCCTTTCATTTGTTTGTATTTACAAAACGTTATCCGTTCATGTGCTGTGAGCGCTTCTTTTCAGCTGCCTGGGAGTTACTTTGGCTTTTGGCATCGTGTAGAAACACTGTGCACCTCAGTTGCCTCCACACGGAAGAGCCCACGTGTCTGTAGTAGGTCCCCAAATCTGAAGAAGGTTTTAATTTTGCTGAGGAGCACGGTTCTCAAAATGTCATAAAGTGTGAACACCCAGCTGGAGCAGTTTATGGACTACAGTGAAAGTCTGAGTATTTTAGCCCAAGTATTAATTCAAAGAGCATGCTTTGTTATTTCCTGTCCCATTGTTGTTTGTAAAATAGTTTAATGGGTAGTGAGCAGTAAACTGTTTAAAA